CATCCTTCCAACTACCTTTAGTTCATTATAATGTTATTATTTTTTAAATAGGAATATGCTCTTTATTTATTTATTTATTTATTTATTTTTTGACAGGCAGAGTGGACAGTGAGAGAGAGAGACAGAGAGAAAGGTCTTCCTTTGCCGTTGGTTCACCCTCTAATGACCACCGCGGCTGGCACACTGCGGTCGGCGCACTGCGCTGATCCGAAGACAGGAGCCAGGTGCTTCTCCTGGTCTCCCATGGGGTGCAGGGCCCAAGCACTTGGGCCATCCTCCACTGCCTTCCCTGGCCACAGCAGAGAGCTGGCCTGGAAGAGGGGCAACCAGGACAGAATCCGGTGCCCCGACCGGGACTAGAACCTGGTGTGCCAGCGCCGCAAGGTGGAGGATTAGCCTAGTGCGCCACAGCACCGGCCCATTATAATGTTATTATAAGAATATTATCATGGCTGACACTCCCACTCCCATCCTACACCTAATGCCATGACACTTACCAGACTTCCAAAACAGGTAAGGAAATGGGCAGCACTCAGGAAAGTCCCATCCCAAACTCCAGCCCCATTTGAAGATTCAAGTGCTGCACCTCCAAATTACATAAAGGCAAAACCCCAAACCTTGTCGACTGCAGTTCTCTCTTGAGCATGCCCTTATTTCTCCTTGAATGTGTATTTTCACTTTGTACATGAATAAATCTTACTTCTCTGTTGATTGTTACCTACATCCCATCCTTGAATTCTTGTATTGCTTTGGAGGTGGGGGGAAACCTGGACTCAGCCACCCTACAACAGGAAGTTGGGGTAAGAGGCACCTGACCCAGGGATGGCCATGGCCTCAAAGTCTGCTCCTTGAAGGCAATGAGGGACTTGTCTTGGCAGCCACTAAATTCTCAGTGCCTGGCACTCTGCCCAGCATGGGTTTTCAAAGCTTTTGATTTAAGTTACTGGAGTAATAGGAATGCTCTTTTTGCAAAGAAGGAGATAGAGGGGAAGGTGCCCTGGACATAGAAAATACAGACAGAAGATTTATTTAGGGCTAAGGATCTAGAAGTAGGGCCCAGAGAAAGAATTAGTGACCCTTGGTAAGGTTGGTGACAATCTGGAATCATCACTGTGTTTTGTGTACATGTTTTTAACTGTAACTTTCATTGATTGGTTGATTTGAAATGCAGAGAGCTCCCATCTTTTGGTTCACCCACTAAATGCTTACAATGATCAGAGCTGGTCTGAGGTGAAGCCAAAAGCTGGAGTTCAACCTAGTCTCCCACATGGGTGGCAGAAACTCAGTCACTTGAGCTGTTATTGCTACCTTCCAGGGTGTACAGTAGCAGGAAGCTGGAGCCAAAAGCTGGGGCTGGATATCAAATCCAGATACTCTGAGGTAGGACGTGGGCATCTTAACCAATGTCTCAACTGCTAGGCCAAATGCCCACTCCTTCCCCCTTTTTATTCACAGTGATCTAAATGTATTGTAAAGTAAACTAAGTATCTACATCGATACTGTATTTACTGTATTTTCTAAAGATTTATTTATTTTATTTGAAAAGCAGTTATATATACATACATCAGAGAGAGAAAGAGAGAAATTTTCCATTCTCTGGCTCATCACCACTCTCCTTGCCAAATGGTAGCAATGGTGGGAGCTTGACATGAGCTGCCTAGGCTATGGAAGCCTTTTGAATCCACAATCCCCGTTAGTATTTAGACAAAGTCATAAGCAAAGTAGAAATTCTCTCCTGCCTTCAGAGAAAAGTACATCCTTCTTTGATGGCCACTTCTTTCCACTAGGATCTCATCCACAGAGATCTTTATGCAGGACATTTTTTGCCACAATGTTTTGGCTTTCCATGCCTGGGATGCTTTCTTGGGCTTTTCAGTCAGATCAAGAGCTTCGGGTGATCACTGATGTCATACATAAGAGTGTTAATTGTTAAATTAACAACAGGAGACACTGTGCACTAACTTCTCATGCAGGACCTCTGTCCTCAATGAGTTGTATTATGAGAGTTAACTATAAAACTTTTTATCAAAGATTTATTTTGTCTTAGTGTATTAAGTGGAAGATAGGAACATCCCTTGTCTTGACAGTTGAGGAAACCTGTGTGTGTGCAAACTGTTGAAATCTTTACTTAGTATAGAATTGGTCTTCTGTGTGTAAAGTTAATTGAAAATGAATCTTAGTGGATAATGGGTCTGGGAAGGGGAGAGGGGGGAGGAAAAGGGGTGGGAGTGTGGGTTGGAAGGCGGATATGGTGGGAAGAATCACTATATTCCTGAAGTTGTACTTATGAAATGCATGATTTCTTTGGGGGAAAAAAGAGGCATAGCTCATACTCAGTTCTGCCCCCCTATTAACTGTTAATTTTGTGCTGAATCTAAGTGCTGTATTTCAGAAGATAAAAGAATTAATACATCAGTGGTTCTCAACTCAGGTGGCTCCTTTGAATTATGTGAGGCACGTCACTAATGACAATGATGCCCAACACCTACCCTGAGGCCAATAGCAGAAGGATGTCTTGGGTGGAACCCTGGAATCCCTCTCCTGAGAAATTAGAATGTGCAACTATAAGAAGTGCCACCGTACAATAGTAATAACAACTGATATTCAAAAACAAAGAGATTTCTTTATTTAACTTTAGCTAATGTGATTATTTCATTAATTTTCCCAGCAGAATTTAGAACTTTAATTTGGAGGCATTTGGGGTAATTTTCAATTAATTTATTCTTTAAAAAGTTATGTTGCCTTCAAAATTAAATGAAATCTACTGCTTGAGTTTGATTCCTAAGAGCCATGTTGAGTAATGATTGAATTGGAATAAATGACATGAATCCTTGTTCAGTTCATGATTAAAGGAACCTCTCCTGTCTCTAATAGCTAATTAGATATAACAGGACTAGGTGCTAATTTAACTTGCGTATTCTCTAAGTACTTTTTATTGAACCTCAGAGTCTGAAAAAAAGGTACCTGGAGAGCAAATATTCTAGATGCCCTTTTAAGTCTAAAGTATTTAGCTTCTCTATGATCTCTTTAATTTGAAAGGGAAATGAGTTATGTATTTTTCATCCATTCCATTCATATTTGAATTGCTTAGGATACAGTTGACACATAAATGTGTAATAAAAGCAGTAATATTTAAATGCTCATTTCAAAGGCTACTCTTAATTTTAAAAGATCTAGTGCTATTTGGATACCATGTCTCATACCTTATTCTTAGAAGGAATATTTCTGTTTTACCTATGTACACATATAAAAAAAAATCCATTTTACTTTACATGTGCACATACAAATATGCAATTATTGGATGTGTTTATCTTCAACAACATCAGTGATTCATATTACAATTTTGTTTACATTCCAAGTTTGGAGAATTAGAAGGCCTTGGGGTATATTCCTAGGACAATTTTCGTAGAAAAAAGGTAAGATTGAAAATCTCTTTTATGAAATACTTGGAACCAGAAGCATTTCATATTTTGTATGTTCTTCAGCTTTTGGAGTATTTGCATGTACACACTGAGATGTCCTAGGGATATGACCCAATTCTAAACATGGAATTATATTTCATATGGACCTTATGCAAGTAGCCTGAAGATGATTTTATACCGTATTTTTACTATGCCTGCATTTTGGCCTATGACCCTATCACTTGAGGTCAGGTGTGGAATTTTCCACCTGTGGCATCATGTTGATACTCAAAAAGTTCTGGATTTTGGAGCATTTTTCATTTGGGATTTTCAGATTAAGGATGTTCAAACTGTATTAAACTTCCTAAAACAACTGCATGATCTAGTTTTCATTCAACACTTTCCCCATATGATCTACCCTTAGCTCAGACCTACTTTCTAATATTTTTAACTTCTGCATTGGTTTCTATCTGTTTTTATTTTAGAGATCTGAAGATATATGAAGCTAGGGCAACAGAATCAGTGAGTATCAGCCATGGGACTATATCAATATCACCAATTTGAAACTTTGGTGTAAATTTAAAACTGTGATGTACACCAATACATAAGGCTATGGAAGCCAAGCTCCAACCATACCACAGATAAGGGAACAAGGTGACACAAGTCTTTTGTGTAAAGGTTTCTACCCTACAAAGTAAACCACAGCCCAGAGGGTGAGGGGAAGCCTGAGGACATCTTCCTCTTGTCTCTGCTGTCAGTCATGCTTCTCATGCTTCCTCTGTCCAGGTGTAAAAATACTGCAAGAGCCTCAAAGAGCAGGAGTTTTTTGTTTTTGTTTTTTGTTTTTGACAGGCAGAGTGGACAGTGAGAGAGAGAGACAGAGAGAAAGGTCTTCCTTTGCCATTGGTTCACCCTCCAATGGCCACCGCGGCCGGCGCGCTGCGGCCGGTGCACGCGCTGATCCGATGGCAGGACCCAGGTACTTCTCCTGGTCTCCCATGGGGTGCAGGGCCCAAGCACTTGGGCCATCCTCCACTGCACTCCCTACCAACAGCTGAGAGCTGGCCTGGAAGAGGGGCAACTGGGACAGAATCCGGCGCCCGACCGGGACTAGAACCTGGTGTGCCGGCGCCACAAGGCGGAGGATTAGCCTAGTGAGCCGTGGCACCGGCTACAGCAGGATCTTAAATATCAGCCTCATGAGGATCACTTTCAGGAAAAGTATGCCATGCCCAGTTAGGGAGACCCTCAAGGAACTAGGAGCACTTCCCCCACAGGCCATAACTCTGTGTACATAGGGTACAAAATCTGAAAGGGGAAAGTGGCAAGAGCTGAATAAGGGGTACATAACAACAGGGGTACATAAGATCTGAAGGCTGGGGATGGCATGTGGCATAGCAGGTGCAGCCTCCGCCTGTGATCTTGCCATCCAAAATGGGCGGCAGTTTGAGGTTCTGGCTGCTCCACAAAGGCCCAAGTAAGAAGATGCCTGCACCCGCATGGGAGATCCGGAAGAAACTCCTGGCTGCTGGCTTTGGATCTGCCCAGCTTCAGTCATTTGGGCAGTGAACCCAAGGATGTAAGCATGCTCTCTCTCCCTCTCCCTCTCCCTCTCTATTTCTGTAACTCTGCCTTTCAAATAAATAATTTAAAAAAAAATAAGATCTAAGGGCTTCTGTGATGAGTTCCGTTCCTGTACACAGATGTCAATTCCAGTCAATTGTACACTGACTGCATTTAGGATCCAACTGATGAAAGATTAGTTTCTCCTTGAATCTGTAACATATATTTTATTCACATGATTCACATATACATTTCATCCTTATATGTTCTCTAATTCCTCTACAATGATATCATTAGACCTAAGCACTCCAAGTGATACAATATCAAAAAATTTATGTAAGCTCTATAGTATAGACATGACCAGAAAGTGAGTAAAATAGAACATGATTGTAAGAATATTTCTAGCCTATCAGAGTCATTTAGATTTTTCTTTTCATTTTAGTATACTAGCTCTCCTGCATGCAATTGAGACTTTGTCTTTTCCCAGCTATTACTGCTGAATTTTAATTCCACCATAGTGGATTCAATAGGGTCTCCTCAAATTTTTATTCTGGTATCTCAAAATTTGGAATAGGATCTTTGCAGATGTACTTAGCCAAAGATCTCAAAGTGTGATCCTGGGTGTAGGGTTGACCCTGAATCATTTGTAAGAGGAAAGAGACAGACTTGAGGGACACACAGAGAAGATAATATAAAGATGAAAGATGGTGGCAGGATGTGTCCACCAGCTTAGGAACAACAAGAATTGCCAACAACAACCAGAATCCAGGAGAGAGGTGTGCTATAGTTTTCTTCTGAGAATCTCCAGAAGGAATCAACCCTGTCCAATTCTTGATTTTGGACTGTTGACTTGAAAAGTAGAGAACTATATTTCTGTCACTTCAAATCACTTGGTTTAGGATAATTTATACGACAACCCTAAGAAATGAATACACTTACCTTTAGAAGTCAGTACCATAGGCACACAGGGTACTCATTTGTGGGGTACTGACTACTTGCTACTGGTTTCTAGTGTCCTTATCCCTGCCCTTTGACTGTAAATGCTCCTCTTTGAGATTCCCAGATGCCATGCTTAAGGTCCTGGGAAGACATAGACATTTCCACATTTGGATATAAACTGTTAATTCTTGTCTAGGACCTCTTTTCGCAATAGTTTTCCTTCTGCTTTTCTGCCATGATCAGTTCATGTTGAACCCACGGGTGCTGGAACCAGCCCCAGTATTCTCCGATTTAATCAAAACCTGTCTGGATGGTCCCATCATCCCCCAGGACAACTGTGTCTGAACTTATTTATCCACTCATGTGACTTCTTACACAATCCTCCCTATTAGATACTAATTCTCTTTGTATCCTAGATCTACTTTGCTCTGTGCTTCACGGTAGAGCTTTTTTCTCAGGTCTCCAAATTTGTCTCCTGACACGTGAAATCCAGGATTTCCACATTATGGCTTTTTTTTTTTTTTTTGAGTTAGACAGTGAGAGAGAGAGACAGAGAGAAAGGTCTTCCTTCCATTGGTCCACCCCCCCAAATGGCCGCTATGGCTGGCGTGCTGCACCGATCTGAAGCCAGGAGCCAGGTGCTTCCTCCTGGTCTCCCATGTGGGTGCAGGTGCCCAAACACTTGGGCCATTCTCCACTGCCTTCCTGGGCCACAGCAGAGAGCTGGACTGGAAGAGGAGCAACCAGGACAAGAACCCGGCGCCCATATGGGATGCCAGCGCTGCAGGTGGAGGATTAACCAAGTGAGCCACGGCGCCAGCCTCCACATTATGGCTTCTGAGAAGTGTGCTTGAAACTAAAAACTGACCAATTTTTTGTTATTGTAGGTGGTGTCTGTCTTCTCACAGAAGTAATCAGTGCTATTGGTTCAAAGGGTGGGAAGTTGCATGGTAATCTACTTTACTGTAAATTAAAAACACACAAATCATTCATTGTTCAAGATATTACCCACATACACTTCCATTAGTTCATTGATTCCATCTGCAAGTATCTGTTGTGATAGAAACCCAGTAACAATGGTTGTAGTGCTAGGCACATTACACAAACATCAACCATGGGCACAATGCAGTGGCCAGGGAGTATGGACACAGCTAGAAAATACCAATGCCAGCACTAAACTTCATTTGCTAGATTTTATGATTTCTGTTATTTGAAGGTCCCTTTAAATTCTTGCAGGACATGGGTTTATTACTTCTTGAAATCTGTCTTCCTACAAATGAAATGGTGAGCTATGCTCTGCTCAGCACAAGGCCTGTTTCATGTCTTGGCCTCTAGGGGGAGCCCAAGGCTCTTCACCCAAAGAATTGGAAATGAATGATGTGGTGTTTAGGAAGAGGGATCTTGCTTGGCCTCCTTATCAGAATTTGCATCCTTCAAAAAAAGATAAAGTGCCCAGGTTTGCTCTTCTCCCTCCAGGCTCTGCAGCCCAAAGTAGCTCATTCTCTTTAGACTTTTTCTGCCTCCTGCAGCAGTCTCAGAGGTTACACCCTGTTGTTGATGGCAGTGAAGCATGTTTTGTCTCTTTCTGTCTTGCCAGTCTTCTTTGATCTTGGTTTTTCTCCAAACTGGGAAGTGTCCACTCATAGGGCTGCCAAATAAAGGGTGTCCAGTTACATTTTAATTTAAGATAAGCAATAATAACTTACTTAGCATTTATGAGTCCAAATATTTCATGGACCATACCATCTCTGAGTGCCAATGAGCAGGCCTAATCCCTCCCACTGATCTTTCCAAGGACCCTGGAATACTGCCTTGGTCTTAAAGCCAGAGTTTGTCTAGATATGTCTTCTTGTCATGGCCAAGTCAAAACTGGCATGTTCCTGCACCCCAGTTTTATGCTGGTGAAACTCCCTGTTTACAGACTGAGTTCTGCCAGTCCTCTTTGAGGTCATGTTGCAGTTGCCAAACCAATTTATTCATCCAATCTCATCCTATCACACTGGTCCAGAAAGAGGGAGTGGAGTAGTGGTCCCAATGTTAACACACAGGAGACCCAAGAGTCATTTCCATCTTATGGAAACCTACTTCAAAGGGGTTGAGAAATTTTTTAACACATGAAATATATCAATTTTAATATAAAAATTAAAAATTCAGTTATTTTTCACATTCTTAAATTCTGAATAAAACAAAGTCCCATCCAATTGCTTTCAGCAGTGACATTCTGCTGATGGCATTCAGAGTTCTATCTTTGAATGCCACGGTAATCACTTGCTTCCCTTCAAGGCTGTCGTGTTTGGCATGAAATTTAAGAATTTAAAATACCAGATCAGCAGGCTCACACCCAACAGACATGGCACATCAAAATGTGCAGCTAATGATTACTTATCAGGACTATGTCAATGTAAAAAGTGAAGAAAAAGTGACTGATAGTAAAACCAAGAAAAAGCCAAATAAAAATAAATACTTCCAACAAAATGGTAGTGATATTTAGATGCACTCACTTACAATGCAGCCAGGCTAGATAAATTCGGCTCCCTTTGGCTTATTCAGAGAAGATTCTCAAACAAGATCAATACTCTTGAGTTGTCCCTTGTGTCTGAGGATGCACAACACCGGGGCAAGCTCAGGAAGAAGGACCTCTGCTCCCTAGACTGTGTTGATCCCCAATCCATAAATGCATAGAGCACAGAGTAGATGTTCAATTAATGTTTCTTAAATTAATCTATTTATTTAAATTTAAAAGATGAGGATGACACATACCTAGGAAATATCCCCTGTGGGGATTAGAAAATTAATTCTAATAAACAGCTAAAGCTGGTATATCTCTGTACATTGGCCTTATGCATGCTGAATAAAATATAAAATGCCATAAGTATAGACTTGGCCAGAAGTCCATTCTAAAAAATTGCTGGTATTTTCAATATTTTGTACAATCACTATGAGATAGGAAATCAGGGTATATCAGCATTCTGATGGTGATCCTTTTCTTTTTCATAGCTAATTGCACAAATACAAAGTCAGTCTCTGACTTAGCAAAGTATCCCTTGCAGGTCTATTTCTGATACTGCACACACAGTCATTTCAGGTATAGCCAGTGATTAAATACAATCTTGGAAGTAATTTAGTGTAGCAATGCTGCACAGAAGCGGCAGGTGAAAAAATAAAGTGAGGAAAAGCAAAATAACTTATCTAGAAAAAGAAACTCAAGTTATTTCGTAAGTTTCTGAGCTTTTTGAAATTTTAGCTAGTATCTAAGAGGTGCATGTACAACTCATTGTATACCATTACTGAAGACATTGTTTAAATGTGCTTGCAGTAGCAGAAAGGTAAGCCGAATGTTCTGTTTCACCAGAAAAGAATGGAGCAGCCCAGAAAACATTCCCTTAGCTATGTGTAAAACCACGGTGCATCTTACATCTCAGTTATACAATTGCCTAAGGTTCTAGTTGCTGCACAAGAAAAATTTTAACAGGACCAGAACCAGCTGGAACAACAACTAAAATATCTGAAATAATGATTATGATGGAGACATAATAATGATGATGGAGATATCATTAGAAGGGAGAAATTGAATCTTTTTTAGACTGGTTATAAATATTGAGTGATAATTGAAACTCATAAAAGCAAAAATTAGACCTCAGCCATGCCCTTGGCATTTCATATACACATTTAAGAGAAATAAATCGTATCCATGGCAAACCAGGAAAAAAATCATCCTTTTACTTAAGAAATGGTAAAAATGATTCTAAATAAAGTTTTCAGATAAATGCTTCTTTTATGTTTTGAGGTTTACTGAGAAAAACAATATTTGAAAGCGTGTTTTGAGTGAAACAACATTTCTGCAACATGCTGTATCTGATGAGCAACAGGCTCACCCAGTGTCAAGATATTGGTTTCTTATACATTCTCCAGAGAAAGCACGAAAACTACTTGTAAAAACAGGCATCTCTAGGTTTGGAAGGATATACACAAAACAAGACTGGAACATCTTACAGCGTCAGAAAGTAAAGAAGTACTTTAAAAAATGATGAGTTTGTCAAAGGGACGAAGAGTCTAACAGGAAGAGCTCCCAAAGGTCACAGCTAGAACAATTTGTTCATCAAAATAAATTGACAACATACTGGTTTATAATCTGGAGCATAAAATAAATATCCAAGAGTCTACACTAGTACCAAAACATGACTGAATTTATGAAATAATAGGAGAGAACTGGCAAATTTCCATGCAGAAGAATTTCAAGTAGTTTTTCCTGCTATTTTCCCATTAAGGAGGTGGAGCACAGCTCTCCAACTTTTGCAAAAAGTGACTTCCAAAATGACTTCCTTCCAAATAGTATAGTGTGGTAAGAGGGTAAAAGAGTCATGTTGCAGTGGAGAAACCTAACAAATGACTTCAGCCAGGTGATAGAGGTCAACATCTGCAGTGATAAGACATACTGGTTGGATATAGCCTTGCAAAAATATGATGAGAATGGTACCTTTTCTCAGTGATCTTCTTCCCCAAAATGCATAGACTCAAAGGTACCTTGGGGAAAATATCAAACAAACCCAAACTGGGAAAAATGTTACAGACCATTTGTCTAATACTTCTGAAAGCTATCAAGACCATCAAACACAAGGAAGTCTGAGCATCTGTCACAGTCATGAGAAGCACAATAACTCAATGCAGCACAAAATCCTAAATGGGATTCTGGAACAGAAAAAGAGCATTCGGGGGAAAATAAAGAAATCCCATGAAAGTATAGAATTAGTCAATGAAATAATGATTTATAGCGCCAGAGTTAGACGTTGGCTTCCAGGGTGGACTATTCCAGTTCTTTTTCACATGAGAGAAAATATGATAATAAATGTGTGAGAGGGACCCATAATTAACAGATCATGTGGGACCTCTGTGTCCTGAAATTTCTTTTGGAGGTCAAAATTAGACAGAGTAATAGTTTGCTATAATAATAGCTAAACAGAACAGTGAACCATTATGTTGGTCTCACAGGAATAAGTCAACAAGAGATACTTTTATTTACTTATTTTGTACCTAGTAATTGCATTTTGTGTGAAAGTGAAACAGAGACACAAACCAAGGGAAATACTTGTTTATAAACATGTCCTTATTTTAAAATATGCGTCTAACTTCATGGGTAATTTGTGTCTAACTTCATGGGTAAATTTAAAACCTGAAGGCTGTGCCCTTTTCTTCATGGCTATCAGGAGTCTGGTCTTGTGAAAGTGCCTGTAGATGTGGTTCCTGGGCCACATCCATCCATGTCTCTAGGCAAAAGAGGATACTTTTTGGAAGGATAAAATATAAACTTCTTGCTTTTTTCTAAGAAACAGTACCTAGTCCCATGCATCTAATTTCCTTATTCACTTATTATAGTCAGTCCACAGCTTACGCTGAGAATCTACTCTGTGCCTTTTGCTGTTTTCTCGGTGGGGACACCAAGATACATTGTTTGCAGGGTTGGGGAAGGAATGGATAATTCTGGGAAGAAGGAGGAGTGAGAAAGGCCAGGATCAATAACAAAAGTAAAATTTGAAGAGTCACAGATTTGTGGAACTTACACAAAATACTCTTAAATGACCAATGGGTTAATGAAGAAATCTCAAGAAATATTTTTAAAAAATACTTTGAGCTGGCATTGTGGTAAAGCTGGAAAAGCTCCCACTTGCCATACCATCATCACATATTGGAGCCAGTTTGTGTCACAGTTGCTCCACTTTTGCTAAAAGCCTGAGGAAAGCAATGGAAGATGACCCAAGTACCTGAGCCCCTGCAACCTACATGGGGCATTCAAATGAAGCTACTGGCTCCTGGCTTCATACTGGTTCAGTCATGGTAATTGTAGCCACTTGGGGAGTGAACCAGCAGATAGAAGATCTCCCTGCGTGTCTCTTTTCTTCTACGTGTATCTCTGATTTAAAAAATAATAATAATAAATAGAGAAAAATGAAACAAAACTCACCTGCAACACACCAAAGACTAAGGGGAAGCAGTGGAAGCTACGATAAGGGGAAATTTTATAGCTATAAACACATTAAAAAATGAAGTTGAATCAACAACCTGATTTGTTACAACTTAATAAACTAGAAAAAGAACCAACTAAACCCAAAGCTAACAGAAGAAAGACAATAATACAAATTAGAGAAGAAACAAAAAAGAATATAAAACAGCAGAGAAAAAAAAATGGTTCTTTGGAAAGATTAACCAAATTGAGCCTTTAGCTAGGTGGACTAAGAGAAAAATAGAAAACTCTAATTACTAAAATTAGAAATGAAAGTGGGGATATTACCACCAATTCAACAGAAATAAAAAAGGATTTAAAGAGAATATCATGAACATTATACATAATAACACAGATGAAATGTACAAATTCAATGACGAATAAAACCTGCAATGACTACATTATGATGACAGAGAAAATCTGAATAAAATTATAACTACTTAGGATGTTGAATTTGTAATCAAACTTCTCTTGATGAAGAATAGTCTTGGACTTGATGTCTTCATTGGTTAATTCTAGCAAACAATTGAATAAGAGCTAAGATAAATCCTTCTTAAAATTTTATGCAAAAATTCAAAAGGAGAGGCCAGTGCTGTGGCTTAGTAGGCTAAGCCTCTGCCTCTGGAATCCCATATGGGTGCCAGTTAGTA